AACTAGAAGTAGGGTTTAAAAACCTAAACATAGCTGCCGCTGCCTCAAAATCCATCTTTGTTTCTGAGATGAAAATAAACATAGGTAATTTTGCAAGAAAGAGCCACACTATGTAGGGAACTGTAAGGGAATGTGGATCATTTAGACCCCTACAGTTCCACGCCACCACATTCATATTCCCTTCAGGGGCTGATCTGGAGCAGCCTCCTCACCTCCTATCGGTAAACTCGTAGCATCCCACAAAGTCAGCTGAAGGTCGATGTCCATATCATCCTGAACCTCTCTTAGAGCCGAAGTAACCTCTTCACTCTTGTGTCTCTTGAAACCCTCGGATGATGAAGACGAATGATCCTGTTGTCTTTTGTTCCTACCCCTCATGCGAAGATCACCATCGATATCAACACCAAATTCCCTATCCATATCCGGATCAGTGATAGCCTTCGAAGCAAATTTGCATAACCCTTTTTCATCTTTTACCCAAATTGAGAAGCCCCCTTTTTCCAACCATCTGTGAAGCCTTTTTTGTCTCTTTCATTCCACCCATTCAAAATCTGTCTCACTGTATCGAACCGAGTTTCCGTCAACTGAGTGCAGTAAATGACCCACTACCTCCCTAATGCGCTTCCTGTTGTTTGCACTATCATCATAGTTAAATAACTCAGTAAAATTAAAAGAGCTGAAATGTGATACCGGTGTGTTAGGTGGATCGAATTCCATGAGAGGGAGTTTCGGGAGTCCACCCAAATCCGCCGGAGATAACTGAAGCAAAGGGGGTCGTGGTGCCCTGTTAGTCCGGTAAAAGGCCTGGATTTCTTTTCGCCTCGCTTCCCGAATCCCCAACGACAAAATCGTGCTTGCTTCTATAATGCAAGCATACTCCTAGTCTGCTATCCTTTCCTCATCATCAATCCTCCTTGTCGCCATGATCGATGATCCCTCAAACCATTGCTGCGAGCTACCAGTCAACCAAGGGCCCGTAGACATGTCTTGGCCTCTTTGCTCCATTCTAATCTCTGCATTGGACCTACCCATAGGCGCTGAAGCCCATTCGGAAATTCCTAGGGTATGAAAGATTGTTCCAGGCCCACCTCCTTACCTTCTTCCTTGTTGGGCTTTTGAGGATTTTCCCACCTCATACGTTGATTTTCCAACAGAAGGCCTGGTTAGCAGCCTCTCGATATTTCTGGGTTGCATAGCTGGGCCCCTATCCTCCATTGGCCTTCCTGTAATTAATCCCCCAGCGTTGGTGTTGTTTTCAGTTTGAGTCCTTTGCGGGTGTTGATCATCGCCCACATTCAGATTTATACCTTCACGCCTATTATGCTCGCCCCTTTGTTGTCCGAACTCTGCATACGGATCCTCTCCCAAGCCCAACCTTCTTCCTGAAGAAAGCATCAAATCCGGCACCACCGGGTCTACCTCATGCTCAATCAACTCGGAATCACCTCCTGACAGTTCTTCCTCTCCGGAGTAAAATCTGTCACTATCTTCGCTCTCCTGGGAAGATAGGTGTTCGTCATATGGATGGTTGTCATTGAACACCCTATCCTTCCTTTTCCTTCTCCCATATGGAAGGGCCTCATCCGGATATTCATTACCCCTCAAATCCAGGCTTGTGTTTCAATACATGTACCAATCAGGCAAGCCTCGTATGTAGTTTAAATAGAAAGGATATTCTGTCGGGCCATATAAAACCCTCATGCCATCCGCCTCTACTTTGTTCAGTCTACTCCGAACCCTTCTCCTCGCCACCACAGAGTGTAGTGTGCACCGAGAAGTAGCGTGGCCTGCACAACCACACATTTTACAAAACCTATATATACCTTCATACCTTAAATGGACCCATATCACTCTATCTCTTTCCAAGGAAATAAAGCACCCTGGTATAAGAGGGATTGAGAGGTCGATTAGAACTCGAGCCCTCAACTCAGCGTGGATGGGCAGTTCATTTCCTTCGTTATCTATTTCCTCTATGTAGCCGACATGACGTAGGATTTGTCGTGCCCAGCTATTCGTTAGATAGGCTAAAGGTAGCCCATGCACTCGAACCTACACACTTGTAAGTGAGAAACTAATTTGTTGTGGTACCATATCATTTTGGTACCTCCTGAAGTTTATTAGTCTGCCATCTATCACAGCCGTTTTAGCTTGGACTAAGCCTTCCAAGTCTTAAGCGTTGCCGTATTCAAACACATAATACGGCCCAGATCTGTACACACGTATCTCCCCCCTCCTTATCCAACGCAAACTTACAATGTGTTGCACGAAGTGTTCAAACGGAGGATGTGGTCCAACAAAAAGCCCTATTGCACTCGAGTTGTAGTTTATTGGAGCTTGCTCAATATTGAAATCTGGTGGGGTGGGGATGAGGGGACCCCCACGCATGTTTCGAAGATGATTGCCCTCATTATCATCAGACTTGCTACCATTATTTTTCATGGTTTATGACTGAAGAACAATTAGGAAAAGAAGAGAACGACAATTCAGCCAAAGGCCAAACGTCTGACAGAGAGTAAGAAGAGGAAAAGACAATCTAAGACAGGAATAAGGAACTATGTGGGTTATAATTTACTGAACTTAATCCCTTGAGCATTTATAGACTCAAGTTCAGCTTTTGGAATACTAAAAAAGTCACGCATGGGAAACAATTAATAGCTGAAAACACCCCTCTTAATAGGCTAGCCGACTCTAGCTCTTAAAGTCTGCACCAATGCTTGTGTTGTAATTAATGCTCAGAGCAGAGGTTTTGGTGAAAGAAGAAGAAGCAATCCTCCGTATTGGTTTATACAGAGGTAGCCAAAAGGCTTGTGTCTTTTCCTGGGAAACGAGGAAAGTATGGGAATAACAAGGGGATAAAACTTTGAAAGAAGAGAAAGGGGAAGTTACTTCATCTTGCACGAGGTAATCCTTTGGAATTCCTCCTTTTTTGATTAGTTAGTAGGGTAATAGATGATCTAGAAAGGTTTTGAGCTTTTTGGATAAGAAACTCTAGCAAAACTATGAAAGACTCACTTCTAGTGAGAGACGCTCTCCAATTTTAGAGAGAGAAAGCCTTGGATTTTGGTTACTTTGTAATGCTTGCATTAATTAAGGCTTAAAGAGATTTAAAATTTTCGTTGAAAAAACGAAAAAACCCCAAAAACTTGGGTATCTGGTTCGAATTTGGCTTCTGGACAGCCCTTAAAAAGGGTTGAATCTGTTTCAGAATGTCGATTCCACCCAAAACACACTATTTTTGAGCCAAAATCTGGGTTTGACAGCCAAATCAATAAAAATACGAGTTTTAAAATTAATTAAAACGAGCTTCTAATCTAATTAGAAAAGCAAAACCAGAATTTAAATCTTAATTTAAAACACCTTAATTAATAAATAATTGCAATAATTAAAAGGAGCACGGCTCCGATACCGCTGTAGGGTTTCGTAGCGTCCAACGCTACGCGGAAGAGAAACCCGCCCAAGACCCGCTCACTAATTAAAACAACTAAATATTTAATCACATAATTAACAACATAAAGAGAGAAAGAGAAAAGACATTCTTACCCTCGACGCGTGCTTCGCTCGTAAATTGAGCTCTTACTTCGAAAGCTCGAGCATCACAATCGTGACCGCCTCCAATGGCTCGTACCCACAAACCCGCCCCAAACAGTCCAAGTCCCGAAGGTTAGTCGGGAACCGACCAATAAAAACTTGGAGTTTTACAAACTTAGAGGTTTTCTCACCTAATGGGAGATGCCTCATTGAGTTCTACTCAAGTGGATTCCCATATGCCCAACACTTGGGTATTTATAAGAGAATGCTACTTGATTTCCCAGTCTCCCACCAATGTGGGAGAATTTGCATTTTCCTACTAATTTATTTTAATCAAAAATAAATTAATAAACAATGCAATCAATGAGTTACAAGTGGCAAATGGAGGAAGAGTGATTAGGTGAGGACCATTCCAAGAAGGGGGGGGGGGGCATTGCCTTGATGCCCAAGGTAATGCCAATAACTCTTGGTCCCCTCATTCAAACCGAATCCACCATGTGGCTGGGACAGCTGGCTGCCAACCAGCCTTGGCTGCGAAGGCCGCCTTGTTGGCACCTGGTGCCTAGGCTGTGCTAGCAAGCCAGCCAGCACAAGCATGCGCACAGCCAGCAAGCTACGCACAGCATGCGAGCTGCTGATGTGGCATGGCGTGTGCTGGGCACTGTCTGGTAAGGCTGCTAGCCCACGCCACCACTATCCTCGCAATGTGCCTGGCCCAGCTCTCGCATGCACAACACGCATTGCTAGCAAGGCCAAGCCCTGCGCTATTGCGTGCTTGCGAGAGGCTGGCTGCTGGGGCGTGCCATAGCCTAGCACCACGCACAGCCTTGCACGCTGAGCACGCTGCTATGCGATGGCTAGGCGCTGCTATTGCCGAGCATGCTACCAGGGCTGCTAGCGCACAGCACCACGCATATCATACATGAGTTTAGCACGCCTAGCATGCTATGGTTGCGATGGGGTTTGCCTAGCCTAGCACTCACATGGCTAGGCTAATGCGAGGCTACGGCTAGGCACCTACTTGTAACTCGATTGATTTTACGTCTCTTCGAATTCTAAATTCGACTCGACTTGCGATGCTCTAAGCTCGATATCCGACCTCTTTGTTAGTAAAACTCCGACGACTCATCAAAATCCTTTGGATTGATTCATCATCTCGGATCGGTTGTTCTATTGGGTTCGACCCGAAGGGTTCAGTCAAGATTAAGCTGTAATATTAATTGTACATTAATATTACTGATCGGAAGCGGCCTCCACCTAGACATTCCGATCACTTGACCTTACTGAAGAATTAGCTTTCCGATAATTTTGAACCCTCTATCGGAATAATACACTTGTTGGAAGGACACCATTCCTTTCATACACAACCTCATACTTCCATTCTTTTTCTTTACAAACAACACTGGATCTCCCCAAGGTGAGGAACTAGGTCGAATGTAACCCTTTTCCAACAAATCATCCAACTGAGTCTTCTACTCCTTCATCTCTGCTAGAGCCATCCTATATGGAGCTTTAAAAATAGGTCTAGTACCAGGCACTAGGTTGATAGTGAACTCAACATCCCTCACTATTGCCATACCACGAATCTCATCTGGAAATACATTAGGAAACTCCTCTACGACAGGTATTCTTCCATCACCCTTCTTTTTTTCACTGTCAATCTCTTGAACAATACACAAAAACAAAGGACAACCCTTCCTAACCAGCTTCTGGAGTTGCATCGCAGGAATAATTCTCAACCCTAAACTTTTCCCCTCCTTATACACCACTCTGGCCTTACTTAGGCTAGTTAAAGTAACCTTTTCAGCTGCATAATCAATCCTTGCTTCATACCTTCCTAACCAATCCATACCCAGAATTATATCGAGATCCTTAAAATCGAACTCGATCAAATTCGATAGAAATTCTACCCCAGAAATGGAAATAGGTACACTCTTAAACAACTTGGAACAACTACTCACTTCCTTAGACGGAATAGACACATCTAGAGAAACTGACTCAGGACATTCTAACCTGAGACTTCCAACTACTCTCTTAGAAATAAAGGAATGGGATGCCCCCGAATCAAACAAAACTTTCACAGGCAAAGAACTTATAAGGAAAACACCAAATACCACATTATTAGCAATTTCAGCCTCACCACTGCTCATCACAAACACACGACCCTTTGGGGCTCCTCTCGCAACGCTACTAGTTACAACCGTGGGTGTAGGTCCACTAGATTGAGGTGGTTTGCTGGAAACACTAGACTCTTTCTCCTTTCCTGACTTAACATCAACCTCTTTCTTGTAACAATCATACACACGGTGTCCCATATTCTGACAGTAACGACAAGTTATCGGATTTCCTTTACCGTCCTTCCCTAGATGATCTTTCTCACACCGCTTGCAAAAATACTTTCTATGAGGCTTCTCACTCCTTTGATTCCCATTCCCCTAGCATTGGACGACTGTCTCCCATTACCTTTCCCAAAGCTCCCCTTGTTTCCCTCTTATCTCCAGAATTCCCTTGGTGGTTACCATTGGGCTTATGCCTCTTTTCACCCCCGTGAAAAGAGTTCAGGTTCTTCCTTTTCTCTCTAACATGCTCCATCTCCCTCCCCTTGATCGCTTACAGATGAGCTGCACGGCCATAAACTTTGTCTAGTATCTCAAAGGTAACTCCCCCTAGCTTCCCTTGGAGGGTCAGGGTTAGAACTTGCTGAATTCTCTAAGCTTTAATGGTTTCAATAGGGACCACTTCCGGGGGAAAACCTCATCAACTTTATGAACTTGTTGTAGTATTCATTGATAGACATGTTCCCCATCCTCAGGTTGGTAAACTCCATGCATTTCTGCTTTCTCAGGTAGGAAGGGTAAAACTTCTCCCTTAAGGCTTCCTTAAACTCCTCCCACCCAAAGTTTGGTTTCTTCAACAACTCATCTTTTCTTTGGGCCCCACCATAAGCCAGCTTCCTCCCTCAAATAATAGACACCATTGTTCACCCTTAGCTCACTTGGGCAATTGATTGCATTAAATAACTTATCAAACTCCCTAATCTAGTTTTCAAGGTTGGTTGGGTCCTCCTTTCCCAAGTAAACAGGTGGTTTGGCTGCAGCAACTCTCTTAACAACTTCACTATGAGAATCAAGGTCTGAATTTTGGTTTCCCTTGTTCACCACTTTCGTGATGTTTTTAGTTATATGGGTTAGCTTTCTAAGGACCTTCCTTACTTTGGAACCAGTGCGCTTTATTCTCACTTGGTCTCTCATCCTTGAAGACATACTTCCTAGGTATACTTTGAAAATTAAAACAAGTTCTACTCACATAAGCATTTAATTCACTTAGTAACATAGTGAAAATTTCAATAAAAATAACTTTATCTCATTAATAATTAAAGAAAAGTACAACCTTGCCATTTAAGGCAATTATTGAAAACAATAAACATAATCATAGTTCAATTATTCAAGCAACACTTTCAACATAGTCATCTTTATTCGGATCATAGTCAGGATCATCTCTCTTGGACTTATCTCTATCACTTGGGTCAGTCATGAAATTTGGGTTATAGCCACTATAGCTTGGAGTATGGCCTGAAGAACTTGACCTAGATTCACTTAGATTGTTGTTCGTCCCTGGAGTGTAACTTGGACTTTTGGTTGGGCTCACCTTACCACGAGGTTGGTTTAAAGAAGCATTAGGCTTTTGAACTTTTGGACTAGGTGATTTTTGATTGACAGCTTGGGTACAAGTTCTGGGCATTTTTGCAACATGAAAGTGGACTTTTGGACTTGGACGTTTTGGGGGTTCATAGCTTGGAGTACGAGTAGGAGTAGGGTAATTCTTGCTCCTACCAAGAGGTGAGATGGACTCATCACTGGATGACACAAACTCATGAGGGTCTTTTCAGTATGAAAAAAGGGAGTTAGGCATTTAAGTAGTACATTTGCTCATCTTCTCTCAATGAAGTGTTGGTTGGGAGTTTAGGAAACTCACAATTCTCCTTCTAGGTTCAAATTTACGCTCCACATAGTGCAAGTCTCTCTTAAGGATAGACATGCTTGCTAACCACTTCCCCTCATGATGGTGTTTTTCATTCCACAACCCATTCTTCTTGATCACATCCCCATACTTGTCAAAGAGAGGTTGATATTTGGGAACTGTAGGTAGATGAGCTAAGGCCAAAAGAACCATCCAAGGTGGTTGAGTGAAAGCTTCCAAATTAAACTTCTCATAAAGGTTTAAGGCCAAAGCAACAATTCCAGTAATAAACTCACTAACTGTGACTCCATCATCTTTCAAGTGATGCAAGTTAAAGTAATTCTTTCTTATATCATCAATCCTTTCCATCTGTTTCACATACATATGCAAAACAATCAATTTAGTGCTAAATCATATAAACAATTCAATTCAAAATCCATTTGCAATAAGCAATTCATAACTTAATCAACCAAGTATAACTCAAGATCAACCAACCATGGGTTAAAGCTCAGAAATTTCGGACCATAGACCATACCTTAAGGTGTTTTAACACCAACTTTAATGCACACATAATCACACAACTCAAGTTTCAAATAGTTTCAATTCTTTTTGTTTTCGAAAATAATAATAATGTACTTGAGTCATGATATAGGACAGCCGAGCCCGCGTCTCCCAGAAAAGTTACCTACAGCCTCGAGGCGAGCCTTTCCTAGACAGAGAGGCGTACCCATTATTAGACCTCCGTAGAGAACCCGAGCATCCTTTTTCTCAATCATCTTTCCACAAATAAAAAAATATTTTTTATATAAAAATAAAGCTTTTGACTTTCACACACAAATGTGAAACTCTATCTATCCTACATGCCCTCTTAAGTCTACCCACAATTTTTATTATTATTCCCAATTTTAATCTTTTTAGGACCTTGAAAACTGATACCACTTTGCAACACCCCCAAATCTCCCTCTACGAAAATACTAGTATAATACGCATAATTATGCCGTAGAGATAAACTTAGGCGTATTACCGCCGTATGATATGCAAGGCTACTCAAACTTACAAACCAAAACCAATACTTTGCAGCGAAAACTTCAATACTTTCTTTATTAATAATAATATAAATAGTAACCATAGTCATGAGTACTCATAATTGAACAAAGACCAACATTCCTAATCTAGGTGAAGAACATTCCCGGGACTTCCATATGCATAATTCTTGACTCCACCTGAAATTAGTCAACACTGCTTTCCATTATGCTAAACAGGGCGAACCAAAACAAATAAGAAATACAGGTTAGAAAAATATGCTAAGTATGATAAGTGGAAGATAAGTAAATTCAATTTATTCGCAAACATGCTTTTAAAAACCAATTCCAATAATCAATCCAATGAATTCCAAAACTCATGATTAAACCAATTCTCAATAACTCAATAATTCGATGAAACAATTTATAAAACCAATCCCTCTTTTGAAAACCAATTCCTCTTTTGAAAATCAATTCTCAATATTCTCAAAATAATTCCACTAACTCAATAATAATGATTAGTCAAATCAATTATTTTCAAAAACTCAATCTCCTCTCTAATTGTGCACACCCCCAAAACTAGTCTCCTACTATTTCATGGCTATTCTTGGAGAAAGACTAGGCCATACAAAGTCCATAGTCTTCAATGAATCCACATAGTGGGATTAATATAATAATTATGCTTGTAAAGCTTTTGAAATAATCCAATAAACCTCTTTAACTCAATAATTCCAATTATTACTCAAACTCCTTTTTAATTAAATTCAACATGCTTTTAATATAAACCTTTTAATAGATACTTGAGAATTAAATCTCATATTAATAACCTTTCAAAAATTAATAATTCTTCCTTTGAAAAATCTTTTAATTAATTCATCAAACTTTTCAAATCAATTTCTTTATTCAAACATGATTAGTAATTCAAACCACTCAAAACATGATATAAAATCAATCCCCAATTTATTTATCAAAACCAATCATTTAAACATGTTTTTATTTTATAAATCATAATTCAATTTTATTTAATTCAATCATCATAAAAATCATGCAAAACATGCTTATACATTCCAATCAATTTCAAAATTATCTAGCCACCTAACATACCTTGGGTCCTTGCTTAGCAAACACAAGGAAACTTCAAGCACTTGGATCAAACACACCCTACGAATAAATATAACCTTAATTAATATAAGGTTAACAAATAATCACAACGTACAATCAAATTAAAAACCCCCCAACTATATGTACATGAACCTTTTAAATAATTTTTTTTTATAAACATGAATAAAAATCTGATTTTATTTAATTAAAACCATTCATAATAATTTTTTATAAATCCCCCATAATAATAATTAATTAAATTCGGGAAGAGAAGAAGAAGAAGAGGCAGAAAACCAAGGAAAAGAGAAAGAGGTGGCGACAAGGGGCAGCCTTCCGGCAGGTGGTTGGAGGTGGTGGCCGTGGTGATTGGTGGTGGTGGCGCAAGACAGAAAAGAAAAGAAAATGTGAAGAGAAATTAACGAGAATTGGATTTGCGTTGGAAAGAATAGGCAGAACTTGTAGAGACCATAACTCCTTCAATATAACTCCGAATTAGGTTATTCTTGAGCCTAACCTCAAGTATTTTTTGAGATGAACACTTTCTGTGAAATAGCAAAACCCCATAAATGACCAGACGTGCCCAAAAATTGGCTCCAAAGATATACAGCCTGATTTTCTTTTAGAAAAAAGGAGAAGAAGAGTAAGATTGAGGAAGAGAATTGAGTTTTTGGTGCGACGAATATGAGAGGTATGAGGGAGTATTTATAGGCTAGTTCATGCAAGAATTATGGCAAGAGAATGAGGGATGAATTATGGTAAAAAGAATTAAGGAAATTACTTGGAGAAGAAAGCTTAATAATTACGGAAAGTTTAATATCAAGGTGAGTAAGAATATTAAAATTAAGTAAAGTATGTTGTCATGAAAAATATTATGGCAAAAGAGATTTACTTGGGTAATAATCAAAGATAAAATAAGGTAGGGAATTAAGATGATCAAATATTTAGGAGGTGGAAAATAAAAATTAAGGAAAATAATAATTTTTGAGGAAGATAAATAAAAATACAAATTACCAAAATAATTCTCTCAAAAATCATTCAAGAGGGTTCGAAAATTTGAGCTAGTAGCTCAATTTTTCGGACCTCCTTAGTGTATTTTAGGAAGTTATTTGCTAGATTTAAGGATTAAAAATAATTGTGTAAATATTATTTATTGTATAAAATAATTAATTAAGAAAATACCAATTATTCACTAAATAAAATAACTAAGAAAATCAGATTTTCTACACATAGAA